TACCCTAAGTTGACATCTGTGAATGTAACTGAGATATTGATACAAATTATTAACACCTTACGCCTCTTTTTCTTTAAACAATGGCTCTAGCCGTTACCATAGAAATTTTGATTTTAATAATGAATATGCTTATAAAACACGTAAATTTCAGAAATAAGTTATTCCAAAAAAAATTTCGCTTGAAGATGGAACAAAGCTTAGTACTTTAATTCAATTTAATTCAAATAATTATATTGAAGTTTTCGGCTCTTGTTTTGAAACATGAGAACTCTTATGTAGCGTATTGGAATAATATTTTTAAATAAATAATTATATATATATATATATATATATATATATATATATATATATATATATATATCAATATCGGGCACGCACGCGCACTTTCTCACTCTCTTCGATCGCTATTTATTACGTTTGGGCTTAAAGACAAATCATCCTGATTACCCCGGTTCATGTACGTTCACCGATGTTAAGCAATATCGAGCCCGATCAGTTCTTCATATTTTAAATAAATAATTATATATATATATATATATATATATATATATATATATATATATATATATCGGGCACTTTCTCACTCTCTTCGATCGCTATTTATTACGTTTGGGCTTAAAGACAAATCATCCTGATTACCCCGGTTCATGTACGTTCACCGATGTTAAGCAATATCGAGCCCGATCAGTTCTTAGATGGGGAACCGCTCGAGAACACTGGATACTGTAAGCAACCTCTTACAATCCGAAATATGATTCCATCTAAAAATCCCACAAAGGGTTGATGAGCCGTAAAAAAATTCTTTGGTACGCTGATAAACTACATCCGTCAGCGAGGCTTCCGATCGGGAGATTGGAGTTTTTATCAGCGTCGTAACACCTGTTTCCAGCTCTGAACAAACAGTAAAACTCCAAAACAAAAACAAAACACTATGAAAATAAAAAAAATATATTTTTATAGTAAAATTACCAGCGATATATATTATCTGTAGTTGAAGGCATTCAATTACGTTCCAAATATTTAGATTTCAGCATTTATCGTCATATTAGCCTCTATGGGTTATTTAACCCATAGAGGTTAATAGGATGATAAACGATATCAACCAAACAACCAAACAGTTTAGAATTGAGTCAAAATGTTAGGCATGAATCCATTTTATAATCTAATCAAAATTAAACATAAATTCACTTTACACTTAGAAAAAAAATTATTGTTTTTTTGTTTGTTTGTTTTTTCTAGATTCATAGAAATGTAGCCACATATCTGGTTGACGCTAGAAGCTCGGATTGTTGCTTCGGATTTTCCTGACATTAATCTGTATAATAACCTACAATTTCTTAAAGAAATCAAGTTGTATTCCAAAATATAACTTCATCAAACTACAACATAAAACACGCATAGTAATCATGTCCACACAAACATGTATATGCACAAAAGCTGAGTATCATCTACCATGTATTCAATTGTGAAAGCAAAATAACATATATCATATTTTTATTACTTCAAAGTTTCCAAGAAAATGAAATTCGACATTAAATGACCCATAAGGTGTTGATGTGCCGTTAAACAAACAAATGAGCCCTAAAAAATATATGTCAATTATTGCAAATGGTTTACCTTGACTAGTCCCCGCCTTAATCTTCTATATATGTGAAACTTTTATCTTGCTCATTTTTATTTTAATCCTTGACTTCCTCATTGGAACTTGTTCTTCTAAGAATATACTTTTATAAATATTTCCTTTCTCTCTGTTTTTTCCACTTTCTCCATTTTCTTTATAACTCCCCTTCTCTTACCTCCAACATAATTTTCTCTCTCTCTCTCTCTCTCTCTCTCTCTCTCTCTCCCTCTCTCTCTCTTCCTTACTTATTTTTCTCTGAGGTTTTGTATTTTAAATTATTTAAAAATATTAAATAAAAAAAAACAATAATATCGGAGTCACCTGATTTTGATAAGGGTGGAAATTAGCCAAGAAATCCTGATATTACAATAATTCTGGTAAAATGAATATTTATTCTACCCAGATATTTGTTTCTTTGCACAAAATCAAGAAATGTTAACAACCTTATCTTATCCCTGTCTACTGAATTATATATATATATATATATATATATATATATATATATATATATATATATATATATATATATATATATAGTCCATAAAATCTCTATCCAATTCTCATACCACCTCGTCCACCAGATATCACTCACTCTAGAATTCTTTCTTTGAGATTATGGTAAAGATAGCGTGTATCGAAGAAACACATGAGACATCACTGAGCTAAAGCAAAAGATCATAGATTCCATTGCCACCATTGATGAAGCTATCCTACAGAGAACATCGCAAGAAATCGAGGACCCGTCTTGATGACCTTTGTGCAAAATTATTTAAATATCTTCAGTATCTACTCCTTATTTTGTAACAATTGCCTGTCCATTCGCTTTTGCAATAACTTTTTTTTTAAATTGTAAAGAAATTTATGGACACCCATTTTTATATATACAATATTCATGGGAAAAATTGAGGAGACCCATATCTATCCCCACATCGGTAGCGACTGCGTTTTCTATGCATGATATATCGATGATATATTCTTTGTATACACGGGCAGTGACGACAAACTTATCCAATTCCTCATGGCCCTAAACACAGTTAAGTTTGACTATGAAAAATCCACAAGATCGGTAACATTTTTAGACACCTGCATTTACATAGATGAAAACAGGAAACTACAAACGACACTACACACTAAAATCACTGACACCCACATCTATCTACACTTTAAGTTTCCCCACCCTAAACACCTCAAAGAGAACCTTCCCTATTCACAATCACTTAGACTCAGAAGGATATGTTCCATCAATGAAGAACTAAATAATCACATTCAAAATCTGGAGCATCAATTCACAACACGTGGCTACAAACAACACCTAATCAGCGAACAAAAAAATAAAGCAATTTCCACACCTAGAGAAGATACCCTAATGTACAAGATTAAAAATAAACCCCGCCGCATACCTAGTTACCACATTTAACCCCACTCCACTATCCCAAATAATCAAAAGTTGCTGGGAAATACTACATCTGAAACCATACCTAAAATATTGTTTGAGGAACCCGGCCTTCTAGCATATCGTAGACCTAAGAACCTAAAAGAAATCATAGGTAGTAACCACATTTCACCGGACAGAGTAATCCGTAATAAACCACCAACAAAAACAACAGGATTTTCCCAACCACGTGACAACAAAAGGAGCTTATGCTGCAACCACATTAGACACTAATTCATTCACTAGCTCAGTCACTAAATCTACTTTCAAAATCTACCACGATTCTAACTGTAGAAGTCATAACAATTTACCTCCTAGAATGCACACTATGCCAGAAACAATATGTAGGAAAATCTGAATGGCCTTTTCACTACAGAATTACTAATTATCGCAATCGAATTAAGTCGATTCCTCACAAAAGATTACTACCTGTAGAACAACATTTCCGCCTAGAAAAACACGATTTTAAATGCCAAATTCACTATAATTGAGAGAATAGAAAACTCCAAAGCAGATAACATTAGAAAAATTTTAGAGTCCCATGAAAATAAGGCGCTATCCAGTCGGGCTTAACTATGATTTTAACAATATAGATAGTATTAATATATAACCCTACAAATCAAAACCTACCCACATTTCTCACCCACACAAGACAGATAGGCTTACGGAGGTGTTGGGGCCACACACTTATACACACACCCATAAGAATATGCACACTTACACACATCATACTCACTCACTCCCTAATGAGCCAAATCATAACACACAGCCATAGTAATATACACGCTTGCACACATCATACACACTCACTCCTTAAGAACCAAATAACACACACACACACACACACACACACATATATATATATATATATATATATATTGTCATCCACAGGCTGACTGTTTCACTATATCACTGCAAAATCTGATGATGCCTACAAAAAACCGTTAACTCGTGTCTATTATTTAATAGATTATTATTATTTAGAAGTTTAATAATGTGTAATTTTTCATGGAGGCACAAAGGGCATGGGTCATCCCAAGCTTTACATGTTCTAGCCTTATCAATGATTTTCCATTTAACTTTTGGTGTTCTATTTGTTTCCTTCAGGAAATCATAAATAAATAAATAAATCTCCATAGACAAACAAACTAGACGAAGGTTAATACATCTTCCGTTTCATTTTAGACACCCCCACCTTTCCCTGACTTGACATCTAGAAAGTATCTCTATACCGCTACTTATTATTAACACCCTACACTCGCCTACCTAATTTAAACAATTCGCCCTTGCTGTTACCATGGAGATTTTGATTTCAATTTTTAAAACAAGTAAATTTCAGATATACGTTATTCCAACAAAAATTTCGCTTGAAGATGGAACGGAGCCCATTTTAATTTAAACTCAATTTAATTTAAAGGATTATATTGAAGTTTTCGGCTCTTGGTTTGAAACATGAGACCTCTTATGTAGCGATTTGGAATCATATTTTTAAATAAATAATTATATATATATATATATATATATATATATATATATATATATATATATATATATCCGGCAATGGTAAGGCTTCTGAGAAATGGTGTTTATTTTCGAGTCGCCATTTCTAGGCACACTGTCAACCAAGTTTAATGAGGTTTATCTGCGCATTATTTGACATTTTTTTATTACGTGCAAGGATAGCCATCGATGGATTTCAAATATGTTTCTCTGTACAATGTTATTCACAAAATTCGAGTTAAACTATGGTATAGTTCTCAGAAAATATACAATTTTGCTGCTTGTTGACATCTTCACCGAGGACGATATTATCAAGAATTTGCCTCCTTGATAAATCGACCGCGGTGAAATTCAAAGTCGGCTCACAGAATCAGAATGCTAACTGTCTACCTATTCAGGCAAGCGACACATTTGACGAACAATTTTGTACAAAAGACAAGAAGAAAATCACAGATGACAAAACAAAATAAGAAAAAAGAAAAGAAACATATCACTGATGAGAGTAAAAAAAAAGGAATGAAAACAACATATAAATAAGTAAAAAAGAATAGGCCAAGCAAACACATGAAAAAAATGAAGGAAAGAAAAGAAAAAAAAAGATTGAACGATTAGCTTTTTACCGCTTAAAGGGACGAAGCAATGCGAGCCCACTGTTGTCGCATTCGATGAGAATCGAGAGACATCCTCGGTAATATCGGGTCTAGACTCTTTCCAATCTGCTTGTCTACGTCGACCATTAAAAGCAAGGCCTTCTGATATGACACAAACAAATGGGAATAAATAATTAAGCATCAAATGTCGACGTTTTTATGCACCGAAAAGCAACGGAATTCGGGCGCTCTAATTCTGGTGTCAACTACACCCTGAAAGAAAGAAAGAAAGAAAGAAAGAAAGAAAGAAAGAAAGAAAGAAAGAAAAGGAAATGTTATATAAAGAGCTAAAGAAAAATTATATAAAAAGAGAATAAGTTTAAACAGGAAGGTTTAGAAAGAAAGAAAAAAGAAATGATAAAAGGGGTATGGACAAACAGGGGTTTGGTTATAAAGAAAGAAAGAATGAATGAATGAATGAATGAATGAAAGATAGAAAACTAGGAAGAAAGAGCCAATGAAAGAGATATAGCCAAGCAAGGATTTAATTAAGAAAAGAATGCATGAAAGAAAGAAAGATAGGCGGAAAGAAAGATTTGATGAAAGATACCTAGTCAAACAATGGTTTAATTTAGAAAGAAAGAAAGAAAGAAAGAAAGAAAGAAAAAGAGAGATTGAGTATGAGTAGAAAATGTTTACGAATGAAAATGGAAACTTAACGATATCCTAACAAGTAAGTTACGAGAAGAATTTTCCCAGCCAGTTTAAGCGGTGAAAGCTTGAGGAATATGGAAAGGAAAAAACAGGTGAGGACAAAACTTTAAAAAGAAAGAAAGAAAGAAAGAAAGAAAGAAAGAAAGAAAGAAAGAAAGAAAGAAAGAAAGAAAGAAAGAAAGAAAAGTCATTCTGAGCTGACGACAGAAATAAAGCCAATGAAACATTTACCCATCCTCCCTTCACCACTAACGGTCTGTAATCAAATTACAAGGCAATGCGTGAAAGGTGTGGTCATGGTCTCGGCTGTTGATAATCGTAGAAAGTTAGTTCACTAAATGCTGAAGTTAATGCACTGTCATAATCTAAGGTCTGGAAATTCAGAGGTTGAGACTAAATATAGATGCCAATAATTAATACAAACCCATATCGTAACCATTTTATAAGCAGGACTCTTAATATCACGACGGTTATGTGCAGTTATTGTATATGTAACGCGGTGATGTTATCGTATTAAAATGGGAACATTGTATTGGGATTTCAAGTCCGCCTGTTTTGGGAAAAGGGAAGGAGAAAAACTGTAATAACAACTATTATCATTTGAATAGAAACTCACCACAGAAAGAAAGAAATGACATAATCTCGCGAAGGCAATCGTTTGGGACAATTTGAAAAAAGAAAACACTATGTGTTGCCTACAAGTAATTCTCCTTGTAGAAGTAACGATAGAAAATAAAGAGTTAGGATTCTTATAAACAGAATCGGTAACAAGTCCAGTCAAATTCGAAAGAGAGAGCAAGGTCGTCAAAAAAGGGAAAATAAATAGTCTTTGGCTAACAATTTTAGTATTTTATATATCCCTCTCGAACAAATATGCAAATTTTGACTTCCTTCAATCAGATGTGGTCGACTGGAACTCATTTCTAGAAATTTCGCTGAAGACGAAATAATATTTTTTATTATATTTACAATTAAATTCCTCCTTTTCTCTCCTTCCACAAGAATTTCGCTAAGGTATGTGCATCAAGTTTCTACAATTATTGTTCATGATGCTATTTCTCACAGACAACAAGATTTAGAAACAAAATATCATGAATCCATTATTTGAATAAAAACATCCCTACGTTTGTTTTGAGGCGTCGGAAAATTTTACACTTACACACACGCACACACACACACTCACATATATTTATTAAGTAAATGAATCTGTGTGATTAATAAATTTAAAAAAAAATCATCACTTCTTTAAGTATTGCTTTGTTTACGCTAAGATACGAAACTGAGTAAATGTGTATATTTCTAGAATTTAGGAAAAGATTGCGTTGTAAGGCAGTATTCATCTTTGCATGATTATCGACGTACTTCGTGGCCGAGAAATATAAAGCCCGTCGGATTTATTACGGTAAAGATTTCGTTTAAAGGCATTATTCCGAGCTTGCTTGATCGGCAAAGCACCTGGTTAAGTGGCATTTGATCTAACGACGGTTTCCCTCCTGCCAAGGGAGAAGCAGGTTCGAATCCTACCGGAAATCGCATATTTTTCTCTCTAATAAGATTTCTCGACTATTCATGCCGGCAGACGAAAATAAATAAATATAACGTTTAATTAAAAATATACAGGACGTCTACTAAAATATTTGTATCGACTAAAAATAACGTAATACATATATATATATATATATATATATATATATATATATATATATATATATATATGCTGAAAGGACAATAGTTACAGTTTCAGGAAGAGAATGCATTCTATGGTGGAATAAACAATTTGAACAAGGCCAGTACGAATATAATCACCTTCTAAGAACAATATGAACGTATAAACAAAAGATCAGCACACATCAATCGACACACGTCAGACAGAAAAAGGTAATTCCTAGTTTGCTTGCTCTGCTTCAACTAATTCACTTCACGCTTTCTCACATTACTTCACTTCTATAAGACTGAACTATTTATTCTCACACCTATGCCCTAAATTCAATTACACATTAAAATCCTTCAGTATCTGTCTATATTTCTGAGATGAGTTATTATGTAGACTATCTACATTATTCGGACTATTGCCCTCATCTTTGTCGCCATATTTATAACAACGTTTGTACGCTCCGGCCTTCTTCAGGTGGTTGGAATATCGAACTGAACTCCTTATTTCGCTCATTGGGTTAGACTGTTCTAGTTCCACGTGCCATGTCTAATGGATGTCAGTTATCAGTTATCTCCTGTTAATTCCCCTCTCCAAGTTCTCCACCTCCTTAACCAGGTATTGAATTCACACTCATTGGGTCCTATCAGTGGATCTAGCCTTTACCCGCTCTGCCATGTGTCCATCACGATTCTTCAGTTAAATTTAGAGATTAATTATACATTCGTATTGTTCAATGAAGAGTCCAGTTGAGTTATAAAAACCTCGGAGAATTCCAGTAAGATATATTTAATCATTTCTACGATACAACTGTTCAGAGCTTAATCAAGCAATTGGACAATTTTTCTGCTGTTACACGATTTGGGCAGTTTTCCTCTTACATAAGGTACACATGTTTCGATGAGGACGGCTGGCAAGTTACTGCGACTAATGTTTTTATTTAATCTTTCTTGTGTTTATACAAGTGTTTTCTTTTATGGACACAACGTGTGTAAAAACTGTCCAACACTTCTGCACCAAGGTGTTTTTTACCTTACCTTATATATATATATATATATATATATATATATATATATATATATATATATATATATATAGTTTTGAAAATGACGGAACGAAATAGGTTTTTTTTTTTTTTACGTCCAAGTACTATTTAGACAGATACTTTGGAACGACTAAACCAAAACGCCGAAACTTAAAAAGGTTGGCAGCAGTTTGGAGCCACAACTAAAAAAAAAATTATTACTAAAAACAAAAAAAAACAAATCGGTGTAAATAAGGCCCTAGTGAATATAAAGTATAAAAAGAATTACTCACGACCCACCCGGAGACACAGAGAACATATATACATATATATATATATATATATATATATATATATATATATATATATATATATATATATATATATCAGTGTATTGAAGTCAAAGCAGTGATGAGAGTCTGTTTCATGATAGCACGCAGATATGAAAATTGCATTGACCGCAGTGTTGACTCATTTACATACGCTCTATCCGTGATATTGATCACTTTTACCAATAAATATAACATATCTTAAAACTATATTTTTACCATATATATATATATATATATATATATATATATATATATATTCTATATATTTTTATATTTTATACATTCTTTTTTTTAGATAGAAATATTTAAGTAAATGCTCTGTTTATAATAAACAGTATTATTAATTTACCAGCCTGAATGGCCGAGAAATTTTCAGGCCGGTAAAAGTTATTAATACTGTTATTAATACTATATAAACAGAGCATTTACTTAAATATTTGTATCTGTAAAAAGAATGTATAAACATAGATATGTCTTAAAATAATTGTTGGACAATAATATCGGAGCCACCTGATTTTGTTAAGGGTGGAAATTAGCTCAGAAATCCTGATATTACACTAATTCTGGTGAAATGAATATTTATTCTACCCAGATATTTGTTTCTTTGCACAAAATCAAGAAATGTTAACAACCTTATCTTATCCCTGTCTAGAAGAATTATATATATATATATATATATATATATATATATATATATATATATATATATATTAGTGAGAAATGCTACAAACAAACCGAGCTATAAACTTGCCTATAAGTAAAAACTGCGACATTGAGGCGAGCCTATAGCGGATCTAGCAAACACTTACTATTAGTGCTGTGTGGCCTAGTGGTTAGAATGTCAGAGTTAAGAACAAGTGACTCACGTTTGAATTTCGCCAATTTGTCAAATGAGTTACTTCTTGTTAATAAAGTTTTGGTAAGACGACCTGTTTAGGTCTTGAAGAAAAGACTCTGTAGATTTTGAAACCTGACCAGGCGTTTGCAACCGGTATTAGCTAGCCACTCTAACAGATATACTTGGAAACAAATACACATACATTTACTTCCCTACTTTATAAGTATTTAATAAGTCCAAAGCTAAATATTGATGTCAAAGATCGTCTTCTGAGAGAGACCCTTGTGTAAGTATTATCATATTAAATGTCCATTAATAAAAAAAACAAAAACAAACTGCAAACCAAAAGATTATCAACAGCTACAAACATAGTGATTGATATACGAATATGTGTCTAAAGCGATGCTGGATATGAACTCTGAGCAGTATAATTGAAATATTGTCGAAGAGAAAGTTAGAACCCATTTTATTAAATATAATGTAATAAAATTTATAGCTGAAGGCGCACATAAAAACGTCAGATTTTATGTCTAATTTACAAAGTTCTACGATGCTAAGCTGCAGTATAGAATGTCTCTTATAATAAAGGCTACATTATCAAAGTTTTTATTAGCGATCGAAAAGGGTAATAACCACTTGATGCAAGGCTCAGTGGCTTTCCGTTGTCTTTTCTATAAATATTTCCATGTCAGTTTTTCTAATGAACTCTCCCTATTCATCCAGTTAACACAGTGGTCCCTAAGCAGTTCAGCGCGCTTCATAGGTGCGACGTAAGAGGATAGCAGGTAAAAGACAAACATTTTTAGAAACTGTTTTAAAAAATTCACATGCCAAAAATAAATATGATTTCAAAATTTTAAATAGTATTATAGATTACTTGTAATTATATGCATGACTCGCGGTATAAATAGTTATAAATATTTATTGACCGATTTTATCACTATGATATCTTTGCATTATATCAAGTATTAAGTATATAGTAACTAAGCTCCGCAAAAGGGAAGAGAGAGTTAGCAATGATAATGTTCTGAATTCGAATGCGCGGGTATCTTCCGTTAACTATTACCCGCTCGGCCCGGTGGCTAGGATCAAAGTGTAGTATCTGCGCTTTGTGAGCTGCCGGGTCGGGTGTCTGTCGAACTCTCTGCTTGCAGAGAGGAACCCGGACGAAGCTCCGCCGAAGCTTCGTTCGGGGAGGTTGACGGAACTAGCCCTCTTGGACGGGTTTCGATGGTTATTTATTTTTGGCTGGGCCTACGGGCTCAGAGATACCCACTTAAAGAGGCCTTGTGCCACATTCGATCCCCGTGGGTGGATAGATAAATACCATCTTCCGTTAACTAACT